TTTCTGACTGAGTGATCTGAGTTGCTCCCTCTGTCCAACTCCGCTTTGCAAACCATTTTGCAAATGTAGCCGGAGGTACCAAGAGGCAAGGGAAAACCGGTTCCCTCCCTGCCTGAGAACCCTCACTTTCATTTCAAGGAATTGGCTTTCATTCTGGGCCTTGTCTTCCCCACAGGGGGGCAAGGGTGCCCTCTAGTGACAATTCTGTGGAGCTGCAGGCAAGGTTCGAGGCCTGCATCTGCAGACTCCTTTATCCAGATGTGAGACCGCCTGGCAGCATGCATCGCACCCCTCTGGGGTTTATTAGCCTGCTGTAATGTCAGTGCAATAATAACCCCGGGGAGGCCATTACACCACTATTTCCATCCAGAGGAGGGCTATTCCATCAAGTACTCCAGAGGCCTGCTTAGTAAATGAGTTTTCTTTTAAAGATATGTTCACTTGATTGCTTTGCTAGAGCGCATTTGGCACCAAAGGAAAGTCTGTGGGGGAATGGAGGACATGCAGGGGCCTGGGGACCACTGTGGATCAACAGCAAAGGAAAGGGCAAGATACCACAGCCTGGAGGCCCCTGTCCTCCCTGTGGCCTTTGGTCCCTCTTTTCCAGTGGCCCCAAGTTCATTGATAAAGCTTTCATCTTTGTGTTCCCATCCACGCCACACAGCCCCAAGCCCCAGCCCAGGGACTGGGTAGCATTAATTCAAGCAAGTCAGGGCTGGTTCTAGCTGCTGCCACATCCAGGAGGCAGGGAGGTGGGGACAGGGAGTGCGTATCAAAGGCCTGTCACAGTCTGAGTGCTGGTCCTGACCGGAGGTGTAATTTCAGCCCAGAGCCTGGAAGTTCGGATTCGCAGCCAATTCAAACCTTGAGCCCTTTAGAGCCCTCATTAAGGTCAGTTAAGAGGCTGGAGCTGGCCTGTGACCCAAGTTGAAAGAGGCCAAGGGGTTGTATTCAAGCTCTTGCTATGGGAAGGAGGCCCCGAGAGAAGCGAACATCCCTCTCACATCTGAGTTTATGAACTCCTAGTGGGCCAGGGGTGCACCAAGATTAACACCCATTAATAGCCGCCGTGTCCTAATTCACAAGGGTCACGTCTCCCACCGTTACAAATCTCATTCCTCTTGAAACTTTGACTCAAGGAAACTCCTGTTCAAAAAACTTTGTCAGAGCAAAGTTCTGTCCCCTGTAGACACCTACAGAAGGAACAACTCCTCTTCAGGCCCAGCCCCTTACAGACCACACATCTGGCTGTCCACACCAGTTCTGAAATGCCTGCTGACCCAGGTTCCATCAGGCCACCCTCTGACCCAGCCACCACTCAGCCTGCCGGTTTCCATGCCCCACCCGGGCAGGTGCATCTGCGCTGTAATTGTTTCTAATTGGCTTCTGCAGCACTTGGCACCCTCCGCAACCTCCAACCTGCAGCTGAGTGGTTCTCAGAAGAGGACAGAAATGATTTTGTACTTTTGGGAACATCAAAGGCAATAAAAAGAAATGACCCCATTTTCATTTGCAGCTCCAGGCCAGCCTTGATGTGGTACCCACATGATGCTGGGCCCTTGGATGTGTGCAGAGGGGACAAAGACTTCCTGATAAATCACAAGCAGGTCCTCGGGCCTGGGGATCTCTCTGTGGCCTAGGGCCCGTCTACAACTGGATTAGAAGGATCTTATCCCAGGAGGGGAGGGAAAAACATGCGGGAGCAGGATGGTTGAATAGGGAGAAGAATAGAGAGCAGGATGGGAGACACCATAATAGAGGGAGCCATTATAGGTTTGAGGAGAGAGCTGGCGCTAGTGAGGTTTCCAGAGATCTCACCACCAAATGGCAATCGAAGCAATAGTGGAGAGGCTACCTTAAATGTCCTTCGCCTACAACGAGATTGATGACTATTTTATATGCCAGCCTAGAGCCTTCATCCAGTGGCTGAAGGAGGCAGAGGCAGACACCCACAGCTAAACACTGAGCTGAACCCCTGGAACCCAGCTGCAGAGAGGGAGGAGTGATGAGCAAAGGGGTCAAGACTGGGTTGGTGAAACCCACAGAAACAGCTGACCTGAACAAGGGGGAGCTCATGGACCCCAGACTGATGGCTGAGAGACTTATCCAGACCCCCTAAATTTGGGTGTCAGTGAGGAGGCTTTGGCAATCTCTGGGGCTTCAGGCAGTAGATCAATATTTATTCCTGGAATACAAATGGACTTTGGGAGCCCATTCCACATGGAGGGATGCTCTCTCAACCTGGACACATGGGAGAGGGCCTAGGCCCTGCCCGGGTGATATGACATACTTGGAAATCCCCCATGGAGGGCCTCACCCTCTCTGGAGAACGGAGTAGGGATTTGGTAGGGGTTGGGGGGATTGGTGGGTTGCAGGGGAGGAGGGGAGGAAGAGGTAGCTGGGATTTGACATGGGAAGCAAGCTTGTTTCTAATTTTAAAAAAAGGAAGCATCTTATCCCATCCCCCACTCGCATATAGTTATGATAAACTACAGGAAAATGGAGACCTCCATAGACCCCCTTATCAGACATAGATGTGTGTGGTACATGGTAATCCCAGGTGACCCCTGAAGCCATGACCAGATTTAAAAATGGATACATTGCTTGTTTTCCTTGTGCTAATTTTATACTGGATGGTTAACTAGGTCTAGAACTTATGTACGTGTTGAGCAGGATTAACACTAAACAGATAAATAATGTGCTAGGCACTGAAAATGGCAAGGAAAAATGATAAATCAAGACAAGGAAATACACAACACCATGCAGTTTCCTCTACACGTGGAGAACGGGAGACATCTCTTACAAGGGACACCTGGTGATAAGCCTGAGTGCTATAAGGCGGAAATCCGCTTGCTGTTAGGTCACAAGGAGAGCAGCAAGTATGAAGCTGTTGGTGTGACTGTGCATCGTGCCGAAGAAGACCATGAGGAAGGAAACGAACGGCAACGGGCCAGTAGCACGGTTGACAGGGAAGGACAAAATCAGGCCGCACAGACCAGTGACTAGCAAGAGGGAAGCAGTGGGGCAGTTTTCCTAGTCGTGGCAGTTCCAGAGGTGTCAGGGGGACGGCTCAGCAACATTCTCAGTGGCCATACCCGCCTTGGTGCTCTCAGCTAAGCCGCCCTTCGTGTCACCTTGTACAGCCTTAGGACCAGTGTCCAAAGGACTCAGTATGGTCTGCCAAGGGGTCCCATCCCTTCCCACACATGGGCTTGTCAGTGGAGCCAGATGCGGGACTCAGAAGGGAATCCCTAGAGAATACATGTGAGCAGCAAGTCTGTGGGCCTGGAGAACCCTGGGGAGCATTCTGCGGGCACAGCCAGCCCTCTTCTCTCCTCCCCGGGGTACTTGGAGCTCCCCAAGAACTAGTTTCTCTGGGCACCAAAATAAAATGGTGCCAGCATCTTGCAGGCTGCCGATAATGGGCTTTGCATGCAGGGAGGAAACAGTGGGGTTTGCATCGGATCTGTTGTCTGGAGGAGCCACTCGGTTGTGTCCAGGGCCAAGTTTTATAATCTCGGAGATGTCATTTGTCACTCATCCCCAAAGATCCTCCCAGGATCACTCTGGTCAACTGTGTCTAGGTAGATACGCCATTACGGTAGTGGTTTAAATATACCTGTGCTGTGGTCCATGGGCTACGTACATTAACTCACATAATTCCCCCCCCACCCCCAAATACCTAGAGACACAGATCTCAATGTCACTGGTGGAGGGAGTGAAATTGACTGAGGCCGGCTCTAACCATCTCCCACAGGACCAGGCCAGCAAGCGGTGGAGTTATAGGAACCCAGTTCTGCCGAACCTCAAAAGGCAGAGCATCTGGTTCCATCACAAGAACCTCTTGCCATCACGTGTCCTCCCTCGCTGCCTCTTCCAAACTCCACCTTCACCCTCTTCCCACCCCCTCCCCGTCCTCACCTCTGCCAGCCATCCTTTCCTCCGCCATGGGAGCACTTAGTGAAGTCGACACTCAAAGAAGAACCCAGCCAGCCGTTCCCTCAGGGGACCTCTGTCCCTACCATCCTGCTACCTGCTCTTGGTTAAACTGCAGTATCTGAAAATGGGAATGCACGTGCTGGCTTGGGGTCAGGCCACCTGCAGAGGAGCCACGCACACCCCCTCCGTGGCAATAACAGTGACAGGATTTGTTGCTTCCTATTCCAAGAAGTCCCAGGGCAGTTTGCCATGAACATTTTGACAAGATGAGCCCCAGACACACCTGGGCTCTATTTCTGCGACTCTAGACCCATCATGCCGGTCCCACCGGGTTCCACCAGTCCAGAGGACTCCACTGCCCCTCAGTCTACACTGTCTCAACTGAACCCCTCTGGGGCCTACTTTCTACTTCCTACAAGCCTCCTGGATGGGAGACTTACGAGCTCCTCCTGGAGGGCAGGCGTTTCCCCGTCGTCCTCGGCTTACCCATGCCGTGGCTTCCCCGCCGTGGGCTGATCTGCTGAAGAAGCTCTTATGACTTGCCTATCCTGGGCTCCTTTCTTGCCTCACTTCAAGGAGCAAACATGAATAAGATGAAGGTGGGGAGCTACCCATGCCTGAGTGATGCTCCTCTCACAGAGACCTTGCGAGCATTCCTCGGATTAGGAGTAGCAAATGCAGACTCCTTGCTGGGTTTGGAGTAAGGGGCCAGAGCACAAGTTTAGTTTAATGAGGGGAAAAAATGTCCTGTGCAATGAGAGTGGGCTGGAATTGGCACTAACAGAATTCCAGAAAATTCCATAGGTACCCTTTCTTGTTTGTGGCCCAGAACACGTCCCCTGCCACTGTGACCCAGTAGGTACTGGGTCACGGTTAACAGAAGAGACCTGAAACCAAAAGCTAAAATGCTGGAAGGAAATCTTCAGATAGACAGGCAACTGGTTTCAGATCTGGCTAGCAGAGCTTAAATCAACGTAAGCATCTTTCACTTGCAGGCACTGAGCAAACCACAGCGGGGTATCCTCAACATAGAGTAAAAGGAAGGGCTGCAGCAAAAGGAAGACAGTTCACACCTGGCTGCCTGTTTTGTTAAATCACTTGCAGCATCCTTAGTGTCCACCAGAGAGCGCAGTTCTACGCGTCTGGTGCGGAAACAGGGAGGACAGAGCCCTTCAGCCCGCCAGGGCTTGCAGACAGCGTAGGCACACAGAAAGAAGAGATATCCTGAAGATAAGACTTCCATTTTGGTCCATTGTGGTGTGCAGAGTGGCCTGAAACTACAACTGCTGTTTTATATGAGCGATTCAAGGTATGGTTCTCACAACCTGAGAGAACCAGGTCTGAGTCCTGCTTTCCAGGGAAGAGAGGTGTCTGTAGACCCATGTGCTGGGGTAGAGGGTGGGTCAGAGGTACCTGTAAGTGTATAGGTTTTGTCTCTAGACCTTAGACCTTTTAACACTCTAATCTGGAATGGAGGGGGTGAACTCAGCCTACTTTTCTATGTTTAATCTTTATTCTATAGCCAGGAAGGCCAGGGCGAGAAAGAAAACAGACAGATAGAAACATACAGAGAAAAACATAGACATTTGAAGAGGCAGACATAAGTCACACACACACACACACACACACACACACACACACACACACACACACACGGTGGGGGTAGTTATGGGCATCTAGACACAAGTGTCTATGGAGTGCCTGTCCTTAGGGAGTCCTATTATTCTCCAACAACCCAAATCTGGGAGCTTTCCAATTCATTTCAGTGAAATCCTCAATGTCGATTTTACGAGCAAACCACCGCCACTAGAAGAGGGGGGTAAGACGATACTGCAGCAGACAGGACGTAAATAGCAGAGAGGGATGGGGGGGTCAGGGCCCCCAGGGCTGTCTCCGCTTGGGTTCGTGTCTCGCAATCACCCAGAGAGCTTCATCCTCCCCTGTCCAGGAGGGATTTACCGATGCTCGATAAAATCTGCCGTGGAAATCTTGCTATAAAATATAGGCCTTTCTCAAGTTGCTTTGCCCACGGAATCCTAATCCTGGAGTCACCTTCCCATGACTTTGTTAAAAAGAGAGGTAGTTGGCCAAAACCCAGTACTAGGCTCTCCAAATTCAATGCCTGCTTTTCTTTTTCTTTTTTTTCTTTTCATTCTTTCCCCTAAACTATGTTTGCGTTTCTCCACACTAGCTTGCAATGGGAAGATTAGAGGCATCAACTCAGGAGTTTCAAGGTCTTTACCCTTACATACGGACCCACTAGTTTACATTTTTATGGTTTCGGGTGACATTAATCCAGCCATGTTTTTATACTTTCAATTCTTGCTACCTTTGTAAAGGAACTAAGGCTCTTAAGCTGTCAGAAGTGAGAGAAGATCTGCACCATCAGACGTGTGGAGCACAGCTCCCGTTGGAAACACCACTGGAAAGCAGACTGGCAAAAAAATAAAACAAAACTACCACTTCTCTGTCTTTTCCCTGGCAGGCATGATTAATCAATCCCAGCTCTGGACTCCTCAATCAATTACTTGGGCAGCCAGCCTCTGACTGATTGGATCCCGCAGACAAGGTGAAAATCCCTTGCTGTATTTGATCTACAGTTTCAAATCTACCCTGCTTTTCTTCCATGGCTCCATTCACCCTTCACTCACAACACTTTCTCCTCTGACTTTGAGCATGAGCAACTGACTATCCGGATCAAGAGTACAGTACGGGAGGAGCCAGGACAGGACGGGAGCAAACACGTGAGGTGAGGAGGCCGCTGCCTGAGCTTGGGAGGATAGGCTGACTTTCCTTTGTGAGCAGATCATAGAGGCACCAGCTGAGGTCCAGGGGATTCTGTTCTCCTTGAGTGCTTTCCAAAACGGACACCCCCATCGCAAAGACGATCTTGTAACACAAGAATGGTAGCCAGTATGGGGGATGCTATACAAGGAAGCTGAATGGTCAAAGGCAGGCCTTGGTCGAAGGCATCCTGGGTCTGTGACTGCTCTGTATCATCAGGGTCCCCTGCCTGACTTGGCCCACTCCACTCCTGTTTAGACGTCTGTAGAGAACGCTGTAATCCGGAAATCAGAGGGCACCAACAGAAGATACAAAGAACCAGTGACAACTCCCATCAAAACTTAAAAATAAGAACACAGAGAAGAAAACCATACAATCTTGGGAGAGGGGTGACAGAAAGAGGAAAGACAGGGTGTCCTCTGTCAGAAATGCACACAGGGACCCAGGTTCTGGGAGGGCTCACTGGGCTCTAGAATAGGTGTCCAGATCAGAGAGCATGGCTCTAAGGTCACTGTCTGTTTCTGTGCAGCATCAAGGAGATGCAGAAGATCTCCTAAGCCCCATCTGCCTTCTGGCTCCTAGGCTGCGACAGGGGTGAGAGGCACCAGACACTGGCCCACTTGACAATGCCACTCAAAGGTGTACCCAGCTAGAGGGCTTAGCCATCCATCCAGGCCAGCAAAACTGGATGAAGACTACTGCTCCACAGGGAGCTGCCTAAAGGCTCCATCAGACCAGGATGAGGGCATCTGGGCTCTGAGACACCCTCAAATCCTGACCTGAGCCCAAGGCAAAACAGTGGAGGGAGCTTGTCAGCAGAGTCCCCAGGGAAAGTTGATGCTTGTGAATTCCTTAGAGAGTTCTTCAGACCAAGCCAATAAGTAAATAAAAGTGAGAAGGTCGTGAAGAGAGGTGTGACAGTGGAACTCATTAGCATACATCTGCATATCAATGCAGGACTGAGGGCCTCCTAGAGAGAGGGGATCACTCTCACATTTGAAGATCTGTTACTGTCCAGTGGGACCTGATGACCAGCTCTGTGTCAGGGGTCTGTATGCCACTGGGAACCAAAGATGGCTTGGGGAGAGTGGAAGGACACAGTCAGGGCCCACCTCTGCCTCTACCGAGACTCGGAAAACTTGCTTGTTGGCTCTAGCCGGTCCTTCCTGACTGTGAGAGAATAACTACTGTCCCTGGAACAACCCCTGTCCCTCACTAGTGACAACTGCGATACTCGGAGGTGTCAAGAGAATGGGAGTTTCCTGGAGCAGAGTGGCCCTTCATGTATGATGAGCAAGCTGAAGCTGCAGAGGCTCCCAGGGATGGCACTGGAGGGGACCAGTGGAGATGGGCGGGGGAGGTTGGGCTGCACACTCAGCACTCCGGTCTAGATGGACACGCTCTCTGTATTTGTAAAGACTTTTCAGTTTCACTGTGCTGTTCTAGCTTCAGGCTGCCTTGCTGGCATATTAATAATAAATAATAATATATTGCATCTGTCTAGCACTTCGCCTTGGTTTACTAAAGATTCTCACCTATAATGTGCCACTTAATTCTCATTAGTGCTTGGAAAGACTTGGCTGCAGAGATGAGAAAGTAGGAATTCGTGGGAGCTGGGCATACAAACTCAAGTGGCCCTAGGGACAGAAGGGCACTTAAACCTGGTTCATCTGTCTCTTGGCACCTACTATCACCTATGGAACGGATACTCTTGAAGTGTGTACAGGGGTGGGGGTAGGAGGTGGGGGTGGTCCCAGGCAACTGTCCACAGCTCTTCTCAAGTTCTACCTATACGAAGTCAGCATCTACTATGTGCTAGACTCAGAACCGACTGCTGCTGATTGGTGTGGCGTTGGAAAAGCACTCAGTACCACTAGGTTGCCCATCACTGTCAAGACTGTCAAGGCCAGGGAAGACAAAGGCGGGAGTGGGGTTCCGTATCAGAAGCGTCTAAAGGCTTGTGACAACTGGACGCAGCTAAGCGGATGGGTGAGTGTTCAGGCACGGGTGTAACAGGCACATCTGGAGAAACCGGGATCTGGACTGCACATGAGCCAACAGCAGTGGATTCCCATAGAGTTTGTCCAGTGCCCATGGTGGTGCCGCGATTGCTTGCCTTAGGGGATGCCTACCTCCTAGAAGATGCATGGTAAATGTGGATGGACTGCCTTGGTGTGCTGCTCTGAAGGGGTGACGTGGCTTAAGGAAGCAAAAGCATACTGAGACAGGACGGTGAGTCCCTGAGCATGAGTGGTGGTGCCTTGTGGGACACTCACATCAGATCGAGTCCTAGAAGTCCCAGGGCTAGACTCACACATGTTGGCTGCTAAACACCCCCCGCCACGTGTGCCCCCACTCTCCTTCTGGCTCCCTTCCCTGTGTGCATGAACACACACCTGCAGCTTCATGCTCACACATCCACAGACATGCAAGTTTATATTGAAATTCACATATGTGCATGCATGGGTTCACATGTGCTACAGTCAGGCAGGCTTCCACTGCAAAACCAGAGCAGCCTGCCTTGTGCTGCCTTAGACATGGCTCATTTATTTTATATGGAGCTAATTGTTTTGAAGTCATTTTTGCCCATTTATCTTGGTTTTCACCTTATGCAATTAAAAAGAAAATGCCTCATTCCTCTCCCACCAATAGCACTTTGCATAATTCAAAACAATTCCTACCTATAGGCCCGTGCATTCTTAGAGGCTATGAAACCTTAGAGTCCTCTAATAGTCCCCTGTAAAAACAGTAACAATGACAAATCAGAACCTCCTGGAGAGCAAACCAAATTCAAGGCTTTCATCTCAAAGTTTTCTCCAGGGAGCTCCCCGCCCACCTTGGCCAGCTTTAGCTCTTAAGGCAGAAAAACTCCCACAGACTGGAGTTTCTCGGAGGTGGCCCGAGGAAGAAGGACCATCATGAACAGAAAGCATCCAGCCTTTGGAGTCAGAAGTGAGCACTGAGCCATCTTCTCCAGAATTCAGTAGCTTTGACAACCCAAGGAAACCACTCAGCCTATACCTCGGGCTCTTCGTCTCCTAAAATGAGTTAATACACCCCCCACCTCTGGAGCTTCCATGACAAACAGAAGACAGACAATGAAACCAAACTTTCTATCCCACAATTGGCACTCAACAAGTAACAATTGACTATTAACACAGGTTTTAAAAGATGGGGCCTCACCCTGACCCTCTGACAGACCTGGAGCTCGCTATGTAGACTAAGCTGGCCTTGAACTCACAGAGATCTATCTTTCTCTGTCTCCAGAGAGCTGGGACTCAAGGCCTGTACCACCACACCCAGCCAATAATTGCTTATTAACATGGCCATCCATTCCAAAAGGTTGTGATGATGCATTTGGCAAAGGTCTGGTCTCTATTGTAGTCTGTGTTAGGTTCAAATGAATTATAATAATAACATCAGTGAAATCACATCACAGGCAGTAATAAGAATTTTGAAATGTGTTGGGAAAACAACCCCTGATATATTGGGAGACAGCCAAGTTAACCAGTCGACAAACAGTGGCCAACAGATGAGATGCTTGGCTGTTTAACACACTTAATAAAACAGCGTGGCTTCAGGAAATTGCTGTCTTGCTGAACAGAGGGATCCCAAGGGTTTCTGCAGCAAGGGTCCTTTGGTCTTACACTAGGATGAACAGAACGTGATGGATCTGGAGACAGAAAGCTCAGCCAGGCCCAAAGGGTAGGGGTGCCAGCCAGCGAGGGTGGAGGCTAAACATTCGAAAAGACAAGACTCCACATATGGAGGGATTAATAGGGAAAGAGGTTCTGTGTGGCGTGCCTGGCATGCCAGAGCGCTTTTCCTTTTACTAGTGAGTGAGTGGATTGAGTTAAGATCCACATGAAAGGGAAGATAAAAGACCAAATCCCACGCCCAGCGAGCCCATGTTGTGATCCCTAATCCAGAGCTCACCGCATGCTCATCACCTACTCTCAGGCCTATGACTGCTCATCTTTCTGTGCCCTGATAGCATCCTCCCAGGGGGAGTTTCGTCTCCTTCAGGGAGTTTCAGAGAGGGAACAGACAGGGAAATCGGGCTCGCACGGTAACACTGTCACTATTTTGCACCATCAAGTGGGAACAGAAGGCTGTGGTCCTGCGCTGGGCGACACCAGAGCCACAGGGCCAGAGGGAGGCCACGGCAGTAGCTCCCGATCAAGCTCAAAGAATCATTTGCAATACCAGGAGCCCCATGCCTGGTCCATCTCCATGGCTTGGCAGCCTCTGAAACCAGGCTTTTCCTCAAGGGCACACAGTCACAGCCAGGAGGGAACACAAGTGCCATCCTGATCAAGCTTGTCGTTTTTCAAACGGTGAAGCTGAGCTCGCCAAAGATGTGCTGCCACATGCAAAAACTAAACTGCCACCATCTCCTCTTGTAGAATACCAGCCTTGGTGGGATGAGAATGCCTTGAGCAGCTCTCAGAACATTCTAGTCTGAAAGCAGAGAATGCTCAAACATGCCTCTGCAACATGCCTTCCTTATTGGTAACCATGAGCAGAGAGAGAGAGAGAGAGAGAGAGAGAGAGAGAGAGAGAGAGAGAGACAGAGAGAGAGAGCGAGATGAGAGCAAGAGCGAGCACTATTTTCTTTGGCCACATGAGGGCGCCAGTACCCCACGTTAGCTCTTCCCTACGCTGTACCTGCTGTGTGTATATTTATTTTCAATGAGGTCAGGAGTATCAAGGTTGTAAAATAACATATTTTCACTTGTTTTCTTCCTCCATCTCAGACATAGCATTTCCGAAGTCAATTATCTCCCCTAGATGCTATTTTCCCCTCCCTTTTCCTCTGCGCTGTTTCAACCCATCTGAGACTGTCACCAAAAGTCTGGGCAGGAGGAAGAGCCCCCAGAAGAACCTGTTATTTCCCTGACTAGGGATATCAAATCCCCATCCTGGCATTTTACTTTAAAAAGCAGTGTTCAAATTTAACACCTCTGTTCTCGGGCCCCACAAGGAAGAGCTGAGGGTGCAGGGCTCCAACAGTGTCTGTAAGGGCAGCCGGTACCACCAGAGACCAGGAGGCACACATAGGCTCCACCTAGCAAGGACAAACAGCGTATTAAAGCATCCCAGTAGGGACCAAATGCAGTTGCAGCATTCAAAGCCATTCGTAATCCTGCCAATATGGAGTCTCATGTTTTCAATGCAGGCTTTGTCCATCTGAGCAGATAGATGGGTGACCTGGATTACCAGAAGGGCACAGGACAAAAGACATTCATCTTCATGGGCACAAAGACAGACACAGGGAAAGAATTAGCAGTTCTCAGGAACTATTTCCCTGGGGTCTGCAGAAACTGGAGGGAG